TAGCATACTGAAATCCATGTGAACAGTTTGGCCTCGAGTTAATGGCTAGTTTTAGGGCAAGCTAAGTTTATGTATATGTTGCTGCTTCCTTTGGAACCTTACTGTCTTTAATTTTCTAGGATTGACCGTTTTGCTGATGCATTGGGTCATGTTGTTGTTTTTGTCTACAGTTTAAGAATCCACATAGAGGTTACATGAATTCCTATGCTCGTTTTGCCGTATGTTTTTCTACAGAAGATTGGGTTTGGTTCTTATCGTGCAATCTTTATTATTTTTGAAATTGGGATCACCTAGCAGGGGCATGAGTAGGGATGACAAACGGGTATAATTTTGTGGATTTTTTGCATCGTACCCACTTCAATTGGGGCGGAGATGGGTATAACTTTAGTGGGTAATGGGAGGGTGTGGATTTAAAAAGTAGTATCCGTCGCGGGTAGTGGGCGGGTGATGGGTTTGAGACCTTATCCGCCCCGTATCTGCCCACCCATTAAATTTTGGACCGTTATGAATTTAAGTATAATTTTAGAGACTAATTTATAAATCTTAATATTGTATAAGATATAACTTATAATTTAATCAAATATTATTATCTTTTTTAATGGTCGTGTTTGTTTTATGTTTGTTGCTTATGTATAACTTAAGGTTGCTGTCAGGCGGGTCTAGTCGGGTACGTCTCCAGTTGGGTAGTGGGTGTGGGGATGAATTTGAGAATGTACCCGCGTGGACGGGTGTGGATTTGAAAAATTTTATCTATCATGAGTGGTGGGCGGGTGATGAAATTAAAAATATTAGGTGAGTATATGAATAAAGGAGGGATATTCGCACCCGACCCGCCCGTTTGTCATCCCTATGCATGAGGTGTTTTGCAACTATCACTTTACTTGTTCATCTTGTGTCCTTGTATGTTCTTAATCGTGAAACTATTGCGATTAACAAATTTTCATGTACTATTTTCCCCTATTAGGTTATAGAGAGATTTTTTTAATGAGGCCTGTCACTTTACAAAAAAAAAAAAAAGTTCACCGATTAAAAAATCATGATGACTTATTATTTTTTAAAAAAAAATATAACAATTAGAATGATATTATATATGTGGTGCGAGTTAGAGGACATGTCTTTCATACTTTTTTTATATAAAAAAATAGTTTAAAATTAGTTAACTAATACCTATAAATATATTATATGAATTACATTATGAGACAAGTATAACAAAATCTCGAGGTCAACATGAGTGATAAGGAAGAAGGATGATCTTAATTTTATGAGTTGCGAACGGTGATAGTTTTAGATTTTGTACTTGAAGCATATCATAGTTATAATCATAGATTATTTAAGAAACATGTGGTTACAAAATTACACCCTATATTGCATCGTGTTGGTCTGTCTATTCATAATGTTTATGAACCGAACATCTTAATTATTTACTGAAACCTAAGATTATATCTTATAATCTAAGATCAAATCTATTAAAAAATCTAAGATTACATCTTATAATCTTAGATAAAACAAATCGAACATCCACTTAAAAATAATTATGCAAGAAGTCTATAATCACTGCAACTTTAAAATTTATCTATACACCTAAAAATTTGAATGGTAAACTAAACAAATGATCACTAATGTTTGAGAATGTTTTTGCTTTCTCGCTAAAGTTTCAAAAATAACAAAATGGTAATTAATATTATAGATTTATAAAAAAAATCAGTCAGTCGTCATTAACGATAGTTAATACAATAACGAAATTCTGATGTGACAGGTTAAATCAGTTGACTTAGCACATTTGACTCTTCTACTTCTTCGTGAATGCATGTTCTCATTAACCGTTGGAACAACAAAAAAACTTCTTGGTACTAGCCTTCGACTGCCATTGCAACATGGTTCTAAAGAAAAATGTGGACAAAGGTTTCTTTCTTTTTGTTTATTACTATTATTTTGAATCTTGTTTACAGTTGAATGAAAAAGGTGCTAAACATTTCTCTATATGATATATAAGTGCAAAAAATTGGGAAAGGCAAGGAGAAGACGCTTTTGGTTAACAAAGATAGATTTATCAGTAAGACGTTCCTTAGTGGAGATTCTGTTAGAATTGATTCGAATCAGTAGTTGGGTATTGTGGCCTTTAGATTTTCCCTTTATTTCTCTTGACCTCCATGTGATTGTACGCATTATGTCGATTGTGGAGGTTTGGAATTTCGCAATTAATCATTGACGCTAACATAGCACTAGGTCCCAACCAGTTAACAAAAACACATTCCACGAACCTTATTTCACATAGAACAATTGAAATAATTTTATCAATTTTATGATTAAAGAAAGACATATAATAATTTACGACATACGAGAGTGGAGACTTCATGCACACCTCCAAGAGCACAAGCAACTTCCTATCTTTTTGTCTTTGTTTGCAGTCTAAAAAATGAAAAAATAGAAAAAAAATTAAAAGGAAGCAAATTTTGATATTTCTTTGTCGCAACCGACCCTTTGTGCGAAGAAAAATTGACTAGTTACAACGGTGGAGTTTTTTTGAAAAGGTTTTGATGAAAAGATATGAATCACCACCAATCATTTTTAAGGTGTGATTGGAACACATAAAATTAAGTAATTTTAATAAAACATTTTATTTTATAAAAAATATCAAGTTTTGGTCTACGAATCAAAAAACATGTTCGGAAGTCAGTTATGCATAGGGAATGATTAGTACTCCCACAACGCCAAAAAGTTGGTACTGTAACGCCCTAATCCAGATCGACTCGAAGATCGAGGGGTTAAAGTGTCACACGAGACCACCAAAGTGTAATGATATAGATATATAACAAAAGCATAATAAATATGAGTTTACAAATATGAGAGAGCTCCCAAATCCAAAATAATAACAATACTAAGTTTATTACAAATACAGAGTTACGATCGAATATGAAAAAGGGTTTATAATAATAGATGCCCTCTAATACAAATCAAGGTGAGTATGAAATCTCTGGTAATGATAATGCTCCACAAACGGTCTCCTAAGAACCCACACACGAAAACACATTCCGAACACTGAGCTACGAGTTCAGTGCCACACTAATAATTGTATTAACCACATGCATTCACTAAATACACATGCTAGTGACATAGGTATAAAGACATAAGAATACTGACATGAAGTGCTGAAGTACGCATCATGGTGTGACTGAGGGTTCTGCATCTCGGAGCTCACACATCTCTAGCCTTCCTAAAACATCCTTAAGTATCTCGGGTGAGATATATAATTGCATCAGAAACGTACACCCGATTAACTTACTCCGTCAAGTCTTAGGGCATCTACGCCTAGTTGGCAACTATCCAAACCGTACGATCTTTATTTGCTATTGTAACTCGGGTGTCTTGACTGTTTCCCGAGCATCAAACAAGGCTAGTTTTATGTCATTCTAATTGTTGTTGTTTCTAGATGTTATGAGTTTATTAATGTTATCACTTGTAGTTTTATTTCATGTCTTTATGGTATTATTGGTCCCTTAATCTATTCATTAAAACCCTTGGGTTTCTTACCAAAAATAGTTTGTAAGTATCGATACCAAGCCCTTCAGTATTGGTACTGACCCCTGGGTATCGATACTAACCTCTAGGTATCGATACCTACTGACTATTGAGAACTGAATTGGAAGGGCTAGTATCAATACTCTAGATTGAGTGCTAATACTTCTGAACTCTGGTATCGAAATTATCCTGACTATCGATACCAAATTTTTCCTTGATGTTTTAAAAATACCTTAGTAATGATACCCCTACTAGGAGTATCAATACTCTACCCCTAGTATCGATGCTCCCATGAGTATTGATACTGAAATTGCCTACTAGAATATATTAAGTGTGCTTGATATTGATACTACCCTACGAGTATTGCAACTGGACCAACAATATCGATATTCTATTGGTGAGTATAAATAATTCATTCCCAAACCCTTTATTTTAGCTAGCTAATGAATAGTATTAGTACTATTCTTCTAGTACCGATACTCAAACCCAGAAATACCATATTATGGGCATAAAAATGACCCTCTAACTCACCCAAAAGTCCTACTAAGGTTTCCAAGAATTATTAGAGTGTTATGTATGATAATAGGGGTCATAATACGTCCATAAACAAGCTAAGAAACACCAAATACTGAAATATACCATGGACATGCTTCATGACTCATGCAAACTAAAAAAACACACCTAGTGATCTACATGTTATAAAATTGAGTTATAAGTGAGTTACCTTCATATCCTAAGATGTTGAAAGCTCCTTAAACTCAACTAAGGGTGAGCTTTTCCTTTTCCCTGCACTTGGAGCTTTCTCCAACCTTTCTTACTAGACAAGAATTAAACATATGGATTACTAATGTGTTTGGCAACTTGCAAAGGTATTAAAAACACTTCCTAGGATTGAAATCCTTTAAAAATATGCTAGATATCTAAGGTTCTCTTAAACCTGTACAAAACCCATATTTGGCTACCAAAACCAAAACTTGAAAAGAATGACTTCAAATAAAGATTGGAATGATGAGATTAAGGTTGTTACCTTGGTGTTGTTGGGTAAGGTTTGCAATAGGATAAAGCTCTCAACTTTTCTTGAAATATTAGAGAACAAAGCAAGTTTGAATGGATAAAGAATAAGACAAAAGTTTGGGGAAAAGAGAAGTTCATACATAATATCACTATGTGTTAATGAAATTCAGGCTTTGTAAGAATTTTTGGTACAATTGCTCTTTTAGTCCCTCAAGCTTTGGTCACAACTTGAAATACCAAATTTTGACAATTATTGGGCTCAAACCAAGCCCAACCAAAGTTTACTTGGTCCATGACTTCCTACAATGCTAATGGATTTATCCTAAGGCCTTATCGGGTTAGCACAAAACTCTTAACTCGGGGTTCAGAGCGTTACAATTCTCCCTTCCTAGAAAGAAATTTTGTCCTCAAAATTTACTTGGATAAAAGAGGTAAGGGTACTAAAGTTGCATATCCTCTTCAATTTCCTAAGTCGTTTCCTCAATGCTATGGTTCCTCCACAACATCTTCACTAAAGGAATCATTTTGTTCATGAGTTCCTTTACATCTCTTACTAGGATTCTGATCGACTCTTCCTCATAGGCCATATTTGGGCTTACATCGATCTGCTTTAGTGGTATGACCTGAGATGGATTGAAATAATATCTCTTTAGCATAGATACATGGAACACCTTGTAAATGTTCTCTAACTCTGAGGATAAAGCTAATTGGTAAGCCACTAGTCCAGTTTTCTCTAGTATCTCGTAAGGTCCTATGAAATCCGGAGTCAACTTCCCCTTATGACCAAAATAAAGCACTTTCTTTCATGGGGAAACCTAGAGGAACACATTGTCCCCCATTACGAACTCAATATCCTTACGCTTCAGGTTTGCGTAAGATCTTTGCATATATGAGGCTTTTCTCAATGATTTTGATTTAACCGAACCTTCTCTTCAGTTTCTCTGATCAAGTCATGACCCACTATTTTACCCTCATTGAATATGTTTGTTATTCCATATAAGGCCTCTTCCGGAGCCATTTGAATGCTTGACTGAAAACTGTTATTGTATGCAAACTCTACTAATGGCAGGTGGTCCTCCCAACTACCCTTAAAATCTATAACGACATACCTAAGTATGTCATCTGAATAACACGATCTGACTAGCCATCTATTTAAGGATGGAAAACGATATTGAAGTTTAGTATGGTTCCTAAGGATTCATGAAGGGATTTTTAGAACCAAAAAGTCGAGGACTCTGTCGGATATGACAGAAATCGATACCCATTACAACTTCACTATCTAATGGATGTACAACTGAGCTAACCTCTTTAAGGTATAATCAATCCGAACTTGGAGGAAATGAGCTAATTTGGTCAAATTGTCAACAATGATCCAAATTGCATCGTGTCTCTGTCTAGTTATGGAGAACCCGGTCATGCAGTCTATGGTCACTCTATCCCCTTTCCATTGAGGAATCTGAATGGGTTGAAGTAACTTTGAAGGAACCTGGTATTTCACTTTTACATGTTGACACACTAAGCATCTATAGACAAACTCTGGCAGTTCCTTTTTCATGGCCGACCACTAGTACAACTGTCGAAGCTTCTGATACATCTTATTACTACGTAGGTAAACTGAGAGTGGATTGCAATGTGCATCGTGAATAATTCTACTATGTAACTAAGTGTCTATGGGTATGCATAACTGACTCCTGAAGTACAATAAACCCTCATCATGCAACTCAAAACCTGATGCCTCGTCCAGGCGAACCTGCTCAACCCGAGCTCTTAATCGGCTGTATGAACTCTGTAATATTTTGGTTTGGCCTACTAACTTTGATTTAAATCATAACTCTATTAACAACCCACATTCACAAGTTAATCTCAAGGTGTCTTCCATAACATTTGATTTACCCAGATGATAGTTTATCACACAATCGTAGTCCTTAAGGAACTTGACCCACTTGCGTTGCCTCAAGTTCAAATCTTTTTGCGTGAATAGATACTTAAGACTTTTTTTATCGGTGAAGATATGACATTTCTTACCAAACAGGTAGTGTCACCAAATTTTCAAGGCAAACCCCACTACTACTAGTTCAATGTCATGAGTGGGGTAGCTAAGCTCGTGAGGTTTAAGTTGATAGGATACGTAAGCTACAACCTTGACTTTTTTCATCAAGACGCATCCAAGACCATCCAACAAAGCATCACTAAAAATTTTGAAGTATTTACCTGACTCCGGTTGAGTCAACACTAGGTTTGAGTTAGGATGATTTTTAACTGCTCGAAGCTCTTCTGTCTCTTTTCATCCCAAACGAAGGGGATTCCCTTTTGAAGCAAATTTATTAGTGGAGAATCTATCATCGAGATGCCTCGAATAAATCGACAATAGCACCTGGCTAAGCCTAGGAAACTGTGTACCTCTAACATATTCTTAGGTGGCTCCCACTCAAATATGGCATAAATCTTTGAAGGTCGAGTTAGATACCATCTACTGACTCAACATGACCTAGAAATGAGACCTTTAGAATCCAAAACTTACACTTTCGAAACTTAGCATACAACTTTCGATCTCGGAGTATCTGGAAGATAATACAGTGGTGTTGGAATGTTCTTCTTCTGATCGAGAGTACACAAGGATTTTGTCTATAAAAACCATTACGAAATGATCTTAATATGGGTGAAAAACTCGGTTCATCAAGTCCATGAATATCGTCGAGGCATTAGTGAGTCCAAACAACATTACTAAGAATTTGTAATGACCATATATTATCCTGAAAGTTGTCTTCGCCACATCAATATCCTTCATCTTCAACTGATAATAACCTGAATGCAAGTAAATCTTGGAGAACACACACATTCCCCTTAATTGGTCAAAGAGATCATCTATCATAGGTAGTAGGTAACTATTCTTGATGGTTAACTTGTTCAACTACTTGTAGTCGATGCACAATCTCATTGACCCATCATTCTTCTTAATAAACAAGACTGATGCTCTCTACGAAAAAATGATCGGTCAGATGAAGCCTTTCTTTAGTAACTCTTGAATTTGGGCCTTTAACTCATTCAACTCTATCAGTGTCATGTGATAAGGAGTAATAAAATCAGAGCAAAACCTAAAATTACCTTGATGCCAAACTCTAATTCACAATTGGGTGGTAAAACCGATAATTTTTGTGGTAATATGTTGGTGGAATTTCGCAATGCTCGGATATCATTGAGTATAGGAATTGAAATTCGAGCATCAAGCACGTGAGATAAGAAGACCTCACATCCCCGGTCGATTATCCCTGAGCTTTTATAGCTGACACAATCCTCGACTGGCCTGACTTATCACTAGTCATCACTAACTTGGTACCACCTTCTACCCTGAGCTTAAATTTTCTGGCTTTGCATTTCAAACTGGCGCTATGCTTAGATAATCAGTCCATACCTAAAATCATGTCAAACTATTAGAATGGTAACTCCATCAAGTATGCTATAAAGGTTTGACATTGAATTTCTACTGGACATCGTCAGTGAATCTTGTCTACTATGACGCCTAGACCCAGACTCAAACTATTATCTCTAAGTCTTCAGTTGGGATTTCTATTTCTTGATCTAGCTCAAAGAATATATAAGATTTGGTGGAACCGAGATCTACCAATGTAGTAATTAGAATGGAAAATACAGTGAATGTACCAGATATCATGTATGTTGTATCACACTCCTCCCGGGCTCTAACAATATATTGTTTGGAGGTTACTCTCAGCTCTGAATCAACCACTAAGTTGGTTATCCCTCCACTATGATGTCCAAATGTAGTACTACCACCTCTCACTGGCCCTCGACATCTCTACTAGAGTCAATCCCAAGACCCTGGACAATCTCTGATGAAGTGACCTAAGGAGCCGTAAATGAAGCAACCTCTCAATCTATGTTGGCACATCCTTAGGTGCCTCATCCCGCACTGAGCATAGATAAGATGAGTGAAGACTTTCATCGGGTCACTATAATTTTCCCTAGAGATCAACGTTAGAGGTCTTCTCCTAGGCTTAGATATACCCTCTCTATCCAAACTCTACCTAACACTCTTTTAATGCACTATTGGGGGTCTTCAAGAACCATGGTCATCTCTGGTCCTCTTGGCCAGAGTCTAAGATGATCTCGTTGGCTCGACGATTCTCATAATCTATCTTACGGTCTCATTGGACTTTTTCGATCTTCAACTCAAGACCCTCTTGACTGCCTTTGCCTGGCGAGACAACTTAGAATAGACATTTGGAGGGTCGACTACAAGGTGTGATAGGATGTCAAGGTGCAAGCCCTCTTAAAACCTTTGGCAATGGTGGTCCTCTCTATAAAAAAATTTGGAGCGTGCCTACTTATCCCGAGGAACTTACTCATACTCCATCATAGTCCGATCCTCTTGAGCTAAGTGCAGGAACTGTTTCCTTAGATCATTAGTATGGGCTTCTTCAATGTATTTCTGGCGGAACTCAGATATGAACTGCTCACATGATGGTCTTTCTAGCTCTAGTGCCAACTCTACTGTCTCCTACCAGTCAATGGCATTACCTTTAAGTAGGCCAGTGATACACTTGAGCTTACCCTCGGGGGTAAAATGCAGTTATCAGAGAATTCAGAAAGTCTCTAGAACCACTTCTCTACTGTTATGGGATCTTTATGCCATGTACCATGAAAGTTTATGATTTTGTATCTATAAAGCCTCTCTACCAAAGACTCTTGGGCACTACTACATGGGCTGAAGGTGTTGGTGGGAGAACTGGTGCAGCTGAAGCACTCAGTATCGCCCTAACGATCTACCTAAGGGTTGAGGTGAGGTCACTAAAAAAGGTCACCCCTCAACCCATTCATCTATTGGTATGTCATATTGATCAGTATCCGGGACAAACTCACCATCGGTGTCGACTACCTGAAAGATCTAACTCTAGTCCCTATTTTCCTAACTGTATGTTGGGTGGTCTTTCATAGCTTTCTGAAATTAGAAATAAACGAAGGTTATTATCATCATTCTAGTCATTATGGTAATTTTGACTTCCTAAAGGTGTGTACATATATAGACGTTGATTGCCTCTAACTTGCGGGTCCTAGAAACTACTAAATCTGATGCTCTAATACCACTAAATGTAACACCCTAATCCAGTTTGAACCAAAGATCGATGGATTAAAGTGACACACATGATAATTGAAGTGGCTAACCAAAAAATTATTTTTTTAAAACGACTATTACCATTATAAAATAACCATCCATAATGATATATGTAAGAAAATTATAATAAATCTGAGTTTAAAAATATGGGGGAGCTCCCAAATCCAAAATGACAATATTGAGTTAATAAAAAAATATAGTTATGACTAAAAAAATATCTACAATAGTTTATGTCTTCTAATACAAATCAAGATGTACTCTAAAATCTTTTCTGAGCTGGAATATCTGGTGACGATAACGCTCAATGGATGGTCTTCTAAGAACATATACATGAAAACACATTCCGAACACTGAGCTTACGAGCTCAGTGCTACACTAATAATTGTACTATACTACATGCATTCACTAAATACACATACTAGTGGCATAGGTATTAAAACATAACAATACTGACATGAAGTGCTAAGGTAGACATCATGGTGTAGTTGAGGGTTCTACATTTTGAAGCTCTCACCCAACTAGCCTACCTAAAATACCATTGAGTATATGGGAAGAAATCTGAAACTGCATCAGAAATAAACACCTAACCAACTTACTTCATTGAGTCATGGAGCATCTACACCCAACTAGCAACTAAAGTGCCTAGTGCTGATTGGGATATATCTTAACTGTATAATTGTTATCTGCTATAGTAACTTAGGTTTCCTGACTATTTCCCGAGCATCAAACAAGGCTGGTTTTATGTCATCCTAGTTGTTGTTTCTAACTATTCTGAGTTTATTTATGTTTTCACTCGTAGTTTTATTTCATGGCGTTCTAGTATTATTGGTTCCCTCAATTTATCCATTTAAACCCTTGGGTTTCTTACCCGAAACTGTTCGTAGGTACCGATACCAAGCCCTTCAGTATCGATATTGATCCCTGAGTATTGATACTAACCTTTGGGTACTGATGCCGATTGAATATTGAGAACTGAATTAGAAGAGCTATTATCGATACTTTAGTTTGATTACCGATACTTCTAATCTGTGGTATTGATACTATCCTCTATACAAATACCAAATTTTACTTTGATGTTTTAAAAAATACCTCAGTATCGATAACCCTACTGGGAGTATCAATACTCTACCCTTGTATCAATACTCTTATGAGTGCCGATACCTAAATTACCTACTGAAATCTACTAACTATGCTCGATATCGGTACTACCCTACGAGAATCATAACTGAACCAAGAATATCGATACTCTATGGGTGAGTAACGCTACTTTCTTCCCAAAACCCCATTATTTTAGCTAGTTGATGAACAATATCGATATTGTTCTTTTATTACCGATAGACGAACCTAGAATTATCCTATTTTGGGTATGAAAATGACCCTTAAACTCACCCAAAAGTCATATTGAGGTTCCTAAATATTATTAG